TGCCCCTGGCAGTCTCTGGGATGGACGGGGCTGGGAGTGGCAGGAGGCCAGGCTTTGGCAGGATCAGGTTAGGGCAGGTTTGGTCTTCTTAAAGTACAATGTTGGGGGCCAGTGGGGCTGACGTATAAATCCCCACTCTGGGCACCTGGCCCTTTGCTTTCCTTCCCAGGTGTCTCTCTGCTGTCAGGTCTGGTGAGTACCTCTGTCCTGCTGAGGGCTGGGTGGGGTCGACCCCCATGGGTCTCTACCTTTGTCCCTTGGTCTTTTTATTTTTTTAATTTTTATTTATTTATTTATTTTTTTGTGGTACGTGGGCCTCTCACTGTTGTGGCCTCTCCCGTTGCGGAGCACAGGCTCCGGACGCGCAGGCTCAGCGGCCACGGCTCACGGGCCCAGCCGCTCCGCAGCATGTGGGATCTTCCCAGACCGGGGCACGAACCTGCGTCCCCTGCATCGGCAGGCGGACTCTCAGCCACTGCGCCACCAGGGAAGCCCTGTCTGTTTTTTTAAATTAATTTTTATTGGAGCGTAGTTGATTTACAATGTTGTGCTACTTTGTGCCGTCTGTCCCTTTGTCTTGATCTCTGTCTGCTGCTGGCTCCCTTGGTGGAAGAGGCCTGGGGCCTCTGTGGGTCTCTGCATCTGGGGGGGTCCCCCTGTGAAGTGTCAGACCGAGGCCTCTTCCGCGTTCCTCTGTGGTGTTTAGGGGTTACTCTGAGGCTCTCTCTTGGATCTCGCAGTCCGGCTGTCAGTCTAGAGGCACTTCTTGGGGCTTTAGGCCCAGGAGTACGAAGCCTGCATGGGGCGGGTGAGGGTGGGATGGGCGCTTTAAGGAGGCGCCTGGGTTTGTTTGGGTTTTGTTTTTGTTGTTTTGCAAAGTCCTGGATTCCAGCAGGACTGAGGAACAAAAGCCAGGGATCTGGAGCATGCAGGCTGGGTTCCTGCCCACTGCTTCTTCCTGTCTTCTCCTACCTCCCGAAGGCAGGGCTGGCAGGATGGGCCCCGGGGCTCTTCTCGCTTCTGGTGCCAGCTCCTCTGGCCTCACCCTGGGACCCGCTTAACCCTCCTGGGGTGGTGTGACCATTCTCAGAGGCAGAGCCTTGGAAAAGATGACCTCCGAGGTCTGTCCTTGGTCTTAGGTTCTGCCCTGATCCCAGGGTGCTGGGCTTTTAATTTCTTTAATTCCAGTCCCAATAGGACTCTTCCTGGTGGGGAGGGTGTTCGGTTGCCTCCACCCTACCCATGCCCTGTCTGCATAGAGCCAGCACCCCTGCTCAGGGGCCTCCTGTATGAGGCGACACACATTCCCTACCTGGTGAGAGCCCCTAGTCTGAGGGAGGATATGAGCCCACCCAAGGGAGCTTCCAGTTAGATGGGAGAGCGACACCCTCTGGCAGAGGAAGGAATTGACTCCTCAGGGAACCTCGTACCCCTGGGCCGTAGCCATGGCCACTGCCAGAGCCCAGCGAGCCCCACTGACTACCCCATGTAGATGCCCGTCTCTGCAGCGCTGGCACAGAGCCCACTGGCCTGTGGAGGGAGCTGCACAGAGAGGATCCCAAATGGGACTCTGGCTACCCTGCCATTTCCTTTCCACAGATGCTCAAAGAGGGGAGCCCTGCACTCAGGGGTGGGCCCCAAGTGTGATGGGAGGAGACATGAGGCCCTTCCAAGTACAGAGGAAGGTCTAGCATCTGCCTGCAGTGTGAGTTGGAGGTATGGCCCCTGCCCAGGGAGCCATAGGCCGAGCGGGAGATGCAGCCCTGTTTGCCCATTCAGAGAGGGGCTTGGAGAGGCAGTTTGGGGCAGAAGTGGGTCCTGCAGGCTGGGCTGAGGTGTCTCCATTACTTGCCAGCCCTGCAGCCCCAGATCTAAGATGTCCAGTCCTCTGGAGTAGGCACTGGCTGTGATGGTCACCACCTTCCACAAGTACTCTGGCCAAGAGGGTGACAAGTTCAAGCTGAGTAAGGGGGAGATGAAGAAACTTCTGCACAAGGAGCTGCCCAGCTTTGTGGGGGTGAGTGGGGCCGGCCTGGGACGGGGAGGGTCCTGGTGTGTGCGTGCAGGGGCACAGGTTGAATCTCTTCTCCCTTCCTCGAGGGTGCCTGCTGACACAGACACCAGGGTGGGATCGAGCCCTCCACGGCCTCACTGGAGTGAGAGTTGAGGCCCGTGTGTGAATGTGTGTGTGAGTGCTCTATTGCTGGCTCTTCCCCGCAGCTTTCCAGAGAATGGGTGTGCTGTCAGAGCCCAGAGAGGGGGAGAGACCGGCTCAAGATTACACAGCTCTCATGTGTGATCTCTCTCTCTCTCTCTCTCTCTTTCATTTTCCATATTTATATGCCAAACTAAGAAGGTGTGTAGGGAGAGAAAAGCCCAGCTAAGACACGCACCCTGAGATATTTTGCAGAGAAATGCCGTCAACTCTCAACTTGCCCCTCGCCCTTCCCTTGCCGACTCCTGGATAATCCCAAAGTCAGGTCTCAGGCTTTGAACGTATGAGGCATGTCCTTCTTTCTTTAAAAAAATTGTTTTGGTCACACTTTTCTACTTTGGTTTCATTTTGTCTGGTATAAAAAAGAGTCCGTCATTTTTGAATTCACTTTTCTGGTGATGGGGAGTGGTGGTGGCTTCAGAAAGCTTTAGTTTCCTCCTCAGCAAACTGGGGGTAATGCCCACCTTGCTGGGCTCCTGTGGGGAGTAGAGCTGATCCTGTGCCTAGGGAATGCCTGGCATGCTCCCCACTCCCAGCAGGGAGCACCGGAGACCCCCACTGATACACTTCTCTCTGTCCTCACTCACCGGGCCTCCTAGTGGCTCCCAGGGGCTCCCTGCCCACCACATACCTGGCTGCCCAGTGTGGAGGGAGAGCTGGGCTCTGACCCGTGAGAACAGCCTGGTGATAACCCCCTTGTCTCTCACTTTTAGAAGAAGGTGGATGAGGAGGGACTGAAGAGGATGATGGGTGATCTGGATAAGACCAGGAGGTGCACTTCCAGGGGTATGCTCTCTCCCTCGCCCTCGACACTATCATGTGCAACGACTTCTTCCAGGGCTCCCCAGCACAGTCCTGATGTAGAGCTCGTGGTTCCCTCCATGGGTTTCTTGGGGCCAGGAGGACTCTCTACCTTTTTTAGTTTTATACTCAGTAAACTCTTTTGCTTGTTGACAATATTTTAATTGCTCAGTGATGCCCTGTCACCTGGCTGGCTCAAAGACTCAAAGCTTCTTTCTTTTTTCTTTCTTTTTTTTTTTTTTTGCGGTACGTGGGCCTCTCACTGTTGTGGCCTCTCCCGTTGTGGAGCACAGGCTCCAGACGCACAGGCTCATGGGCCCAGCCACTCCGCAGCATGTGGGATCTTCCCGGACCGGGGCACGAACCCGTGTCCCCTGCATCGGCAGGCAGACTCTCAACCACTGTGCCACCAGGGAAGCCCCTCAAAGCTTCTTTTGTTTTGAGCTGTCTCTATCCCTTTCAGTCCAAGATGATATAATGCCTTTAAAAATGTTGTGGGCTTCCTGTGTATCAACTTATAATTCACTTAATTAGACAAAAAAACATATCTACAAATTTCTTTGAGACTGGCCCTCTGTACCTTAGAGGTAGAGAGCTGTTAGAAAATGCCCTTATGATTCTTAAAGGCCCTCTTGCCTGAAAGAGACACACTGCTAAAATTATTAGAAGCCTTATTGGTGTTTTTTTTTGTTTGTTTGTTTTTGGCTGCGTTGGGTCTTTGTTGTTGTGCATGGGCTTTCTCTAGTTGTGGCAAGTGCGGGCTACTCTTCGTTGTGGTTCACGGGCTTACTCATTGCAGTGGCTTCCCTTGTTGCGTAGCACGGGCTCTAGGCATGCGGCCTTCAGTAATTGCAGCACACGGGCTCAATAGTTGCGACGCATGAGCTGTAGGGCGTGCGGGCTCAGTAGTTGTAGTGCACAGGTTTAGTTGCTCCGCGGCATGTGGGATCTTCCCAGACCAGGGATTGAACCTGTGTCCCCCTGAATTGGCAAGCAGATTCTTAACCACTGCGCCACCAGGGAAGTCCCTAGAAGCTGTGTTGTCTATCTGAGATCTGAGAATTGCCCTTTACTCTTTTTGAAGTTTCCATGGAAGATCTCATCTTTGACTTTATCTTACCCCTGAGGCCCTTTTTGTTGGCAGGGCCATGGATTTGATCTTTGCCCTGAGCCATTTATTACTTTGAGAGCCATTTATTACTTTGAGAGCCATTTGCTGCCTGGAAAGACTGTCCTGGGCCCTCTATATTTCCTCTAAATTCCACTCAGAATTGAAGAGTTCCTTCTTTAGTTCATCTCTTTCTTCTCATATTTTACCATAGGCAGCCAGAAGAAGCCAATTGGCATTTTCAGTATTCTGTCCAAAAATCTCCTTAGCCCATCCATGCGTTCATTATGAAATCTTTCTATTTTCCACGTTACCATGGATAATAGTGTTTCCAGACATTCCACCACTACATAATAGGGGTTGCCTTTTCTTCAGTCTCCAGTAACAATTTCCTCACTGCCCTTCAAATTATTACTAGTAATCTTCTTGAGATCCTTCTACCTTTCACCCATGGCTTTGTCCCAAAGCCAGTAACACCTGCTTTAGGTTTTTGTAATAGAAGCCTCTTTCTCTTTCAGGTCTTTGATGAAAGATTCATGGAGCCAACTCATGCTGATTTTCTAAGCTTTTCCTACCACTTCCTCTATCACTACACCTAGGTTTCCATTTGATCTGCATCCCAAGATACATCAGGGGACAATTTGACTAAATATTTTGTCATTTCATAACAAACGTCCTTGACTTTCAGCCTGCACATATTGGGTCCTCATATCTCACTGTCTTCCCTCCTCCACTTGGTCAATTCCACATTTTATTTTATTTTATTTTATTTTTCTCGATACGCAGGCCTCCCACTGCTGTGACCTCTCCCGTTGCGGAGAACAGGCTCTGGACGCGCAGGCTCAGCGGCCATGGCTCACGGGCCCAGCCGCTCCGCGGCATGTGGGATCTTCCCGGACTGGGGCACGAACCCGTGTCCCCTGCATCGGCAGGCGGACTCTCAACCACTGCGCCACCAGGGAAGCCCCCAATTCCACATTTTAGATTCTTCTGTTTGAGGACTCCGCTTTATGAATTTATTAAGCTTTGAGTTGCAGATCACCTGACTAACAGTGGCTTTAATTGTCTTACATAACAAGACATCTGAGACAGGCAGTTCAGGGTTAATTCAAGGTTGGTTCAGGGGCCCAGAGATGTCATATGACACCTATTTTTTTGCTCTGTAATCTACAGCATGTATGCCTTTTCCCTCATGCATGTTGCTTCATGACCACAAGATGGCTGCTCTACCTCCAGGTCTCACTGTCCATGTTCCAGGCTAAGAGACAGAGGAAGTATAGGGTGCAGAAAGCTTTTTCTCAAGAGACTTTGCCTTTTTATTATACAAGAAATACTCTCTCCAAAGATTTCTACTTACGTCTCTTTGGCCTTAACTATGTAATATGGCTGTGACCAAGTATTTTTAGCTGGGCATGTTGACACTTTGAAAGAAAAGAAAAAAGGTTTTAATAATAAGGAAAGGGGGAATGGATAGCAGACAGGCAATAGACAATATTTTTCTGAATTGTTTTCTTACTTCCCTGGGAAGCTCTGATGCTTGGGAACTGCTTACAGAGTAGCTCAGAAAAGAGCTCCCCAAAGACAGAAAGGAGTGAGAAGGTTCTGGGACACACTGCTTATTCTCACTGTTCCAACTGCATGTCTGGGGCTGATGAGGCAAGGCTGGGCAGGCCCTAGCAATGAAAAGAGAGAGGCCCACTTTCCTAATATCCTATAGGAAAAGGAGCCGGTGAATATAGGTCAGGGACTCATCATAATGGTAATTAACATTTCCACAGCAGTTCCCAAAGCTTCTTTCACGCTCACTGTCACTTCAGCCTCATGGTAACCCCCAACAGGGCTATCATTAGGCCCTTTTTACGGATAAGGAAACCCAGATGAAGCAGCATCTGCCATTCAGGGAGCATTCCCTCCGGCCAGGCTCTCTGCTAGGCCTGTTCTAGCATCATCTCATTGAATCCTCACAGCACTTGGATGAGGGATGTGTTATTAGTTTCTGCATTTCACAGAGGAGGAAATAGGGGCTGGGAGAGGTTAAATGAGTAGTGTTGGGACTCGACCCAGGTTGTAAGAAAGGGCCTCACCCCTCTGGGACACGGGGGTGGCAGCTTGGGCCTTCCTCCCCTTCCTCCAAAGCCTTGGAGATGAAGGGGACCTGGCTGGGCAGAGTCCAGACGCTCTTGGTGTCTCAATCCTGAATCCACGGGGAAGTGGGTCCACTTGCTAGTGATTGCGCGACTGTAGTCTGTTTGCTCACAGGGGATCCCGGCTTCCGCAGGGGCTCAGTTCCAGGTTCTGGGGCTGTTCTGGCTGGTGGATACTGGCATGGGCTGGCTGCCTCTGGAGCTTTCCCCGGCTGGCTAAGCACCCGATGGGACTAATTTCGTTCTGTATATTTGACAGACTAACACACATGTGACGTTCTTAGCTGGTCTCAGTAATCTTCCCTCATCCTGCCCCTTCCTGCAAATCTTCCTGCTGAGACAGAGACGAGGAGGGTCCAGAAAATGGTGCTGTTCAAAGGCCCGCTGGCCGGATTCTCTCTCACTTCCTCCTGGAACTGCGGCAGGGAGGAGAGCCTCAGGGATCCATATGTCACCTCCCATAGTGTCCTACTGTCACTTTGCTCTTTGTTCTTTTGGGTCTATTCCTGCAATCTGTTGACCCTCCAAGAAAAGAGAGACGGAAGGCAAGGGTGGATTCTGAGGCAGGGGAGTGACTGAAATAGGGCTCCCCATGCTCCCATCTTTACTCCCCTCTAACTCAGTGCTCCCATCCGGGAAATGGGCAGTCAGGCATTGATTTGGTCCTCAAAAGACCAAGGAGAGCCTGTAGGTCTAAGCCCCACAGGCTCTCCTTGATCCCAGTTCAGATCCTCTCCCCACCCCCATCCCCTAATTCTGTAGCAAAGACCTCCCTGGCTCCAGCCTCAGTAATCAAATACCCCCTCCCACCCTCTCCCTACCTTGGGCTCAGATGATGAGAAAGGAGATGAATCAGTGTGACGAGGTTCATTGACCCCCATGGGGCTATGAGATTGGGGTGGTGTCACCCTGTCCCTCGAGTCCAGGTCCTTTTGGCACAAGCACATGAACGTCCAGACGCTCTAAGACACTTCATCTTATTTCTCCCTGAGGTGCAGAACCAGACACTGACTTTCATGGCTCAAGGTGGTTTCCCAGAGGCTTTTGTAAGGTGATGGCGGTGATAGTGGGGGACAGAGGCAGGGAGAGAGGACGGGAGAGAGAGGGACAGTCCTGCCGGGTCAGAGAGCATCTGCTCCCACCCTCCCTCCCTCATGCTGCTCCTGTTGGGGAGAGACCCTTACCTTCCACTTGGGGCACGCTTCTCTGTAGTCAGCTCTCCATCTGCAGTGGAGCAGCACGAGTGAGAGACCAAGGATGTTGAGCTCCACTCCCAGGTAGAGAATCAAGTGGACAGTGTGGACAGCAGAGGGTGGGAAAGGAAGAGGATGCTCCCTGTCTGGGCCTCGGAGGGGAGGCATTTGGGGGATTCAGGGTAGATGCTGGCGAAGAGCTCCCAGCAGGGCAGGAAGATTCCAATCCCTGTAAGAACAACTTGGGAAAGCAAGATAAGAAAGGCTGCAGCTCTGCCTCTAGCCTGTGGGGATGCAGAAGGCTGGACAAAATGACCTGGGGGTTAGGCGGGGGAGGAGGCTTGGTTCTCTCCCTGCTGCCCCCATCGAGGGGACTTAGCCTGTGGCTGTTGAGTTAGACTGCGAGACCTCTGCCCTGACACTGTCCACCAGCAAGTGATACAAAGCACTTTCACATCAGAGTCTCAGGGTAGGAATCTTCCAAATCCATTTTGGAGGCAAAAAATTAAGGCCCAAACAAGGTAAAGGACATGCTCGGGGTGGAGGCAAGAGGGTGGTGGATCTTGGAGTGAGGGTCCAGTAAGGGTTCTTCCCACGACGGTCCTCCAGCCCCAAAGCGCCTGCACTCAGACCTCTCCGTCCACCCATCCGCCCCTCAGCTGTTGCCTCCCTGGGGGAGCTCCTGCCTTCCCTGCTCCCCACCTCAGTCGGAGCCTCTCCCAGTGGCAAACAAAAGTGAGGCATCCCAGAGGGGCGTGGCCAGGCTTCGAAACAGGAAAGGCCGGGGGATAAGGACTCAGGCTGGGAACAGGCTGCCCAGCCCTTCCCTGACCATGCATATAAAGTACCCCAGGCCCCACCACCATTTTTCCCCCTTAGCCCTGCTTATTGTTCTTCCTAGCATTTAGGTCGCTGACCTATCATACATTTATTTACTTGTTACTGTCTGTTGTGTGCATTAGATGGTCCTCTCTACAGAGCTCGGCTTTTGTCTGTTTTGTTTATGGCTGTACCTCCAATGCTTAGGACAGGCACCTCTAAATCTTCACATGAAAAATGAATGGCTCTCACCCTGCCACAAATTAGTTGTGTGACTTGGGCAAGTTACCTACCTCTCAGTTAACATTTATGCCCTTACCATGTGCCAGCACTATTTATCTATGAGCTTTGTACATAGAAAGCCCTTTAAGCCTCACGGCAATCCTAGGAACTGATGACCATTATTCTCCTTGGTCATTGGCAGGTGAGGAAAATGAGGCCCAGAGAGGTGAAGTGACCTGCTTAAGGGAGGTGGCTGTTGGCAGAGATGGGATGTCACAGGTGGGAACAAGGGATTGACCTAGAACTGAATGAATTGCTGGTCCACTCTGGCCTCTGCTTCTGTCCCCTACTCCCCATAATTCCTTGCCTAGAAAACAGGGTTAATCACAGCCCTCCCTTCCCTGCACCCCCCCCGCACTGTTCGCTCCCGTCACCCAGAGGGGCTGAGTCTTCGGGGAGGTGATGGCACAGTTGAGGTTCGGGGGCAGGGGGCCTGGGAAGAGGCCAAGGTGTCATGAGCTCTCTGGCTGCCCCACAAGTATTAGGGCTTCTTCAGAGGCCTGGGGGTTGACTCCTCTTCCCCTTCCCACACTCTTCTGGTCTTGGGTTCCCTTTCTGTGAAGTGGGGAGGGGTCTCTCAGGCCCAGGGATGAGGGCGGGAGAAGTGATACGAAGAGATTTCCGTTTCTGGCAACATGGTGGTCTGTGCCAGCTCCGGCTAAAAAGAAAACAAAAAGTGCTGGATAGAATAAAAACATCTTTTTCAAAGCGTTGACGAGCTCACAAGGCATTAAGGAATGGGATCAAAATCTTAGCGAAAGCAGACTCCAAGAGAGTGGGGCCCTGGGGCCCCTCATGCCCTGAGGGCATCCGCCAAACTGAGCCAAAGCGACCTTTGGCTTTGACAGAGTGTGGAGTGAGGAGGGACTTGCTTGAGGAGGGGAGGCAAGGGGGACACCCCACATAACGCTGAGACCCCAAAGGGCTACACGCTTAAGCCAAAAACCAGAGGAAATCTACCCCCACCCCACGGGAGTGCAGGGAACTTGGCCTTGGTGCTGAATGGAGCCACGGAGGACAGGAAACAGGCCTTAGGAGCTCAAGCTCCAGGCCACCCTGGTGTGAGTCTGAACTAGGGGAGGAGGAGGGGCACCAGGAGAACACAGCCGAGACTTCTGGAAGCACCCCTAGGAGCAGCACACCTTCCTCCCGGGCCTCAAAGACATCCTACGGGTGACCTTCCCAGGGAAGCAAGCCGTTCTCTGCCCAAAGCATCCAAGGACCATCGATCTGGAGATCAGTCAGCGAGGGTGTCTCACAGGCTCAGAGCTCTCACCGTAAATGAGGGGGCTTAACCAGGGGCACGCCAAGATCCCCTCTGGCAGAGGGATTCTCCGGGGGTGAGGCGAAAGTGTGTCCCCACTTTGTCTTCTTCTGGGGTGCCTTTTCAGGGTGAAGACATAGGGGATGGCTGTGATGAATGACCTGTCTTCTCTAACCAGGCTGGAAGGAGATGGGTAGGAGGCTGTGCCCGGATCCCAGCTCTGGGGGAGGGCAGAGGGAAAATGACGAGGTGGTGGTGTCTGCAGCCCAGACGGGGCCTTTGATGGGTGCATGGCAAGGTGGGCGGGTGGGGTCTGTAATATGGGTTGCCAGGGAAGGAGGCAGGGGAGCCCCTGGGGCATCCTCAGCTTGACCTACTTGGGCCCCCCATAACTGCTCCCTTCCTTCCTCGGGAGGCTACACATAGGGATGCCCTGTCTCTAGGCTCCTCCAGCTGAAACGCCAACACCTGTGGTGAGTGTCGGCTGCTTAGGTCCTGTCCTGGGTGTCCGGCAGCTCCAGGTCTGTCTCCTGGCCCAGGGTCTGGGCTTTTGGGGGCAGAGGGATGACCACAGCAGGGACTGATGAGGTGAAGGAAGTCAGATACGATGGGTTCAGGGGTTCCCTTGTACAGTGAGGGGCTGGGGGGAACCTGGGTTTGGGGGGTGTGCAGAGCTGAGGTCTGGCGGAGGGGTCGGGGCAATGGGCTTAGAACGCTGCTGTTGCCCTCAGTCAGCTCCCCCTTCGCCCACACCTTCCATTCCTGCCAACGTGTTGAGATGGGCCAGGGCTGTGGGGAAGAGAGGATTCCCTCCAGTCTCCAGGCACCGAGCTTCTGACAAAGCAACAGTGGTGGCGCCAGGCAGGCTGGCAGGAGCCCAGAAGGGCAGCTCGGCCCCTCTGAGGTTCCCTATTCCCTGCGATCACGGCCCTTTCCTCTCCTGGGAACCCGGAACCCTACTCCAATCCTGGGCTGTCACAAAGCGTTAGACCCCAGGCAGCACTTAACCCCATTCTTCTTCCGTCTCAACCCTGACCATCTACAGGGCCTGGCAGAGAGTAAATCATTAGGGAGAGGGCCTTGGCCCAGGCTGCCTCGTGCTGCAGGACTCCTGTCCCCTGGGGGCACCAGGAGTGAGTCACTGGGCTCACATGGAAACAACACATGCCTTCCTGGCTGCCTTAGGATTTTTCCAGGCTGGAGGCATCTCCCAGAAGGGCGGTGGGAGGGGCCCGTGGAATGGGGGTGAGTGAGCAATTCTGGGAAGTGCTTCCCCTCTAAGAGAATGGGGTACCCCTCTGCAGAGCCTTCTGTCTCAAGAGCCCCAGAGGTCAGGGGGATGGCCTCAGGGAGAGCAGATTACAGATTGGTACATACCTGAGCTCGCTGTCTCCAGAGACCAACTGGTTCAGGTCCCTGACTAGGCCTGTGAGGGGGAAGTAACCCTATTTTACAGATCGGGCACCTGAGACCCAGACAGGGTAAATGGCTCATCTTCTGCTGCACAGCTAGTCAGAGGCATAGAGCGTCGCGGCAGATTTTCCTTTGGTTGCAGCTTCCCTGAGTTCAGCGCAGGAGGGATGGTGATGGGGTCGTGGTGAGGCGGTGGAGGTTCTTCTGAGACCTGACTCTCCCTGAGAAGGTCCAGCTTCACCAAGGGCCTGAGGCTGGGAGCATGGGGCAAGGGTGCTCCCTTGTGCAGGATCTCTGGGGTCCTGAGGGCGATGAGGCTTCTAGGGCCAGGGGGCTGTGCCTCAGAGGGTGCTACAGAGCTGGACTGGGCGTCAGATGAGAAAAGCTGGAGAGAATCAGGGAGTCCTCAGGGACCCCCAGTGTGCGGGGTGCAGGTAAAGGGTGGGCACCTCTCCCTGAGGAGTTTGCAGTGAGGTTGGGCAAATGAGGCCTCTGTCCAGAAATAGGGGGGCAGTCGGGAAATAAATGAGGAGGGGCTGGTGTAGTCAGGGAGGGCTGCTCAGAGGAGGGGGAGCTTGTGGGGTGGGAAGGCTGCAGGGGATTAAGTCAGGTCTGGGTGCATTCCCTGGGACGCATGGAGGGCAAAGTTGAGGGAGGGTCTGACTCGGCCTCTGCCGTGAGTCACACCCTTGTTCTTCTGTGACAGTAACGATGGCGCCTCTGGAGCAGGCCGTGGCTGCTATTGTGTGCACCTTCCAGGAATATTCAGGGCCCTGTTGGAGACAAGTAAAACTCTGCCAGGCAGAGCTCAAGGAACTGCTAGAGAAGGAGCTGCCCACCTGGACCCCGGTGAGCACCTGGGGTGAGTCCCCATGGGAAGCACTGCTCGGATTCCGCAAAGAGACACCTGGAGATGAGCTCTGAGCATTGGACAGCAAGGGGGTGGAAGCTAGACTGTGGGGAGGGGATGCTGGGAGGGAGACGGGCACAGCAGGAATCTCAGTTTCCTCATCCGCAAAGTGGGAGGATGAACATGTCAAGGGCTGCCTGGCCTGGCTGTTGGGAGGACTGAGCGAGGGCTCTGTGAAGAACCCCTGACACAGGGTTGGCACTCAGTAGCAAGTAGTAGGTGCTCTGTAAATGATCTGAGAGAGAGGATTTGGGAGGGAGATTGACACCGGTGAATGGTCAGAACAGGGAGGCCGAGGTTGGCCCCCAGAGGGGTGTGGGTTGGGATGGCTGGGACCCCACAGGAGGGGAGGGAGGGAAGCGGGATGTGCGCACCAGGCTGTTCTGCACTTCTCACCCTGCCATCCCCGCCCTGCACAGACAGAGCTTCGGGAGTGTGACCACAATAAGTTCATGAGTGTCCTGGACACCAGCAAGGATCGCGAGGTGGACTTTGTGGAGTACACGTGCTTGCTTGCCTGCCCCTGCGCCTGCTGCCGTGAGTACTTCAAGAACTGCGCCCTGGGCCCCCGCTGCTCCCAGTAATGGGCGGGGCTGCCATCGGAGGGTAGGGGTCTGGGTCTGCTCCGGACCTGCTCCATCTCTGCCCTGAGGTCATCCCGGGCATGTCAGCTCTCCCCCCTCCTTTGTCCCCTCCCTCTAGAATCTCCCAGGTTTGCCCCGGGTATGTTAACCCCTTTTACCCACGAGTCTAGGAGACATGAGGTGACCTTCCCCGGGACCACAGCCAGTGACCTGTAGAACAGCCAGCTGCTGACTCCCCACTGTGGCCCATGATGGACGAAGGCTGTCAAGGCCCAGCAGAGTGTGTGAGGGAAGGAGACCACGGTGGGAAAGGGCCTATTTTGCTCCTAATAAAGAACTGGCATCCCTTGGCTCGGTTTGGTTCTTCTGAGAGGACAGCCGGGGCCTGGGAACAGAGTCCCGCTGAGGCTTCACTCCCCTCTGGCCTTTTCCACTGGAGGACAGGAGGCTAAGGGCACTTTCAGACCTTGCGGAAATGAAATGGTCTTAACGTCCTGCAGGAGGGGGTGGGGTCAACACGGGAACAATGTCCATGGGAGGCTGGTGTGTGTGGGGGTCTCTCTCTCTCTCTCTCTCTCTCTGGGGTGTCTCTGAAGGAGAAGCTCCCTTGGGGACTTCCCTGGTGGTCCAGCGGTTAAGACTCCGCACCCCCAATGCAGGGGCCCTAGGTTTGATCCCTGGTCAGGGAGCTAGATCCCGCGTGCCGCAGCTAAGACCCGGCACAGCCTAAATAAATAAATAAGTAAATAAATATTGTTTTTTAAAAAAAGAAGCTCCCTTGGGCTGTCTAGGAGGGTGAGAGGGTACGGAACTCAGTCCACTGGACAGGATGTTCTGAGGGGAGGGGAGGGCCGTAGTGGAGGGGGTGGGTCTGTTCCCTGCCTGGGGCTGTGGGAGCCCAGAGTGCAGTACTAATAGGATTAGGGCGTCTGAGGTCCAATTAGGGTGTTTCTCCCTGATGTAGGGGGTGCCCTACATTGGAGGGGGAAGGGGAGACCTGCAGGCCGACCCCCTCCCTGAAGCCACAGCCACCTGAGGGGCTTCACATCCCCTCTCCTGAACCTCTCTCAATCCCTGAGTTCATACCCTGCCCTGAGAGGTTCCCCTGACCCCTGCCTCCCCCATTCTGTGCTGTATCACCTCTAACTTTCCACCGCAACCTGCCCTCTTCATTCCTGATGCCCATCCTAACTCTAAATCCCCCTCCTGACACCCTCCTCTTTCCCATGTGCTCGTGGTCCCGTCAGTCGATCCCTGAGACCCGAGGCCTGACGCCCCCTCCCCATTCCATCACTCCGTCATCCAGGTCCTTTCTCCACAGATGTGTCTGTGGGGGTCCCGACGCCTCCTTTGGGTGTTAGCCTGTTCCCCCTCCCAGACCCCCCAGCTCCTGTCCTGGGCCTCACTCAGCATGGTAGAAAGCCCCCTTGGGAGGGGAGAAGGGCAGTGTGAGCTGTCCCCAGCACTGAACCTGGGGTCCCCTCCCTGCGTTCCAGGGCAACCCCATTCCAGGACCACCTCCCACCTGTCACCCCCCACCCCTTAATCCCCTTTCCTTTATGCCGGCTGCCTAGTGGGACCACTCCCTCCCTGTCCCTCATGCCCCAGGCACAGCCTGCCCTTCCCGCAGCTCCCTAAAACTCAATCTGAGCTGCGCACACCCACCCACTGAGGCCCCTGCCTGTGCCCACTGGGGCTCTCCCATTGTCCATGTGTGCGTGCCCACAGCAGGAAGCTGGGTTTCCAGGCTGGCTGGTGGAGGGACCCGTAGCCGTTACCACGTCGGCCCAGGATAGGAGGGCTGTCTCCCGCTCTTCTCCATCCCCCGACATGGGCAGGGCCTGGCCAGGGGTATAAATAGGTCAGACTGCAGGGCTTCCCCCACTCTTCCTCTCTCTCCAACTCTCTCTCTTCGGCGCTTCTCTCTTGCCCTGGTGAGTTGCGGTCGCATGGCTGGCACGCAAGTGGTGTGCAAGGGGTGTCAGGCCGAGGCTGGGGCAGGAGAAGGGGAGGCTGGTGGGGGCCAGATGTGCTAAGTGGGTCCAGATGTGAGATTCCAGTGTGGAGGCTCTGGGGAGGGATGTGTGTGTGTGCACGTGCACATGTGTGTGTATGCAAGAGAGAAAAAACAAAAAGTGTGCAGGTGGCTGAGGGGAGCTATCGGAGCCGTCCTGTGGTTCTGGGGCTTGCACGCGTTGTTGCTGTAGTATGTTTTGGGGTGCGTGTGACTGGGGGGTATGCATGTTGGCTTGTGTTTGCTGGGTTGCCCTAGCCTGGGCGTGCACACTCACGGGGTGTAGGAAGCACAGTGAAGGCAGAGGGCGACGGCGGGCTTTTGTCTGGTTGTGTCCTAGGAGGCTCTGCCCTGCACGCAGCAGCCTGACCCAAGGGAGGGTGGCGTCCCCATCCCTCCTGCATCTGTGCCCCTGCCACCTCACCCTGCGCCTCCCCACGCTAGGCGCTAGGCCACTGGTTTTTTCCGCTACAGGGCCCTGGGCAGGCTGCCAGCAGCCTCGCCCAGCCCAACGACCCAGCCCAACGCTTGGAGGGAGAAGAATGGGCTGGGGTGGGGCTGCTGTAGACTGAGCGTGGGAGTGAATGGACCGCGTGAGGGGTGAAGAAAGCGCTCTTCTGGAGCTGGCTGTCCAAAACGCAGAGCCTGTGCCCTGGGCCCTGCAGGGGTTCGCTGCCCCAAGCACGGATTTCCCATTGTGCACGCCCATCCGCCAGGAGCCAAGCCCCACTTATTGGGCTGCCTCTATGGTGGGAGCACCAAGTGCTCCCTGAGGGATGGGATTGGGGTGGGCATTCTGAATACATAGCCGGGGGTGGGGTGGGGAAAATTAGGGTGTCTCTGTGACCCTGCCCCCAGATCCTGACTGCCGGCATGGCGTGCCCCCTGGAGAAGGCCCTCGATGTGATGGTGTCCACCTTCCACAAGTACTCAGGCAAGGAGGGTGACAAGTTCAAGCTCAACAAGTCTGAGCTGAAGGAGCTGTTGACCCGGGAGCTGCCCAGCTTCTTGGGGGTGAGTGATACAGCCTGGGAGGCACCTGTTTTCTGCGAAGCATTAGCTACAGCTGGCATCTATAGCTGTCGATCAGCCATCTTGCTGAGACGGGCAAGTCGGGGCAGAGAGCTTGCTCTGATTGCCTGGGGTGGAAGCACAGTGAGTACCCACTGCTCACTTCCTGGCTCTCTGCAGAAAGATGGCTGAGAACAAGCCGGTAGGCTACGGGTCAGACTCTGCCAGGTGTTTGCACAACTTAACTGGAGGTAAACTGAAGCTCAGAGAGGCCACGTAACTTCCCAAGGTAGTCCGTGTGTAAAGCCGAGATCCGTGAGCCAGGGCGTTCCGACGCTTGCCATCACTACAGCAATGAACAATTTTTTTTTTTACGATTGTATGAAAATTGTGTGTCTTCTTTTTTTTTTAAAAATTGAAGTATAGTTAATTTACAATGTTGTGTTAGTTTCAGGTGTACAGCAAAGTGATTCAGTTATATATACACATATATATTTTTTCAGATTCTTTTCCATTACAGGTTATTACAATATATTGAACATAGTTCCCTATGTTATACAGTGAATCCTTGTTGCTTATCTATTTTATATATAGTAGTGTGTATCTGTTAATCCCATACTCCTAATTTATCCCCCCAACCCCAAACCATTTTTGAGTTTCTATTTGGCTTGTGGATGTGAAGACACAGTTATGGAGACCCTCATACACCTACAGACTCCCCCTGAGCGATCACAGATGCCATCCATATCAACCTTTGTGTAGTTTATACATTGCTTTCATGACCATTGTCTAACTGGATTCTTAAAATGACCTTGGCAGAAGATGCTGTGGTCCCCTTTATCCACTTGTACCCAGGTACTCAAGACTTCTTTGTCTGAGGGGTGGCCTTCCTCCAGCCCTAGCCTAGCCCCCAGGGCTAGAGGTCCAAAGCTGGGCCCCCCAAGGAGTGGCTAAGCCTTCTTGGGCTCCCATCTGGAGGTGCAAACCTGGTCTAGTCCTAGCTCTGGCCACTCCCACACCCGCCCTGCCCGGCCCCGACTTCTAGTTTCTACCTGCAGCCTCTTCTTCCTGCAGAAAAAGACAGATGAAGCTGCATTCCAGAAGCTGATGAGCAACCTAGACAGCAACAAGGACAACGAGGTGGACTTCCAGGAGTACTGCGTCTTCCTGTCCTGCATCGCCATGATGTGCAACGAGTTCTTTGAAGGCTGCCCCGATAAGCAACCCCGGAAGAAATGAAGTCTCCTCAGATGTGCGGGGTGGGGCCTGCCAGCTGGGGTCTTCCCTGTTGGCGGTGGGCACAGCGCCTCACACTGGCTCCTCCAGATGTGAGCACGATACTAAACAAGTTCAATAAAGATTCTTGAAAGCTATGAGGCTGATGGTCTGAGAGACTCTGGGGGCGCTGGGAGTTGAGCTGTGGTTTTGTGGCAAGTGGAGAGCAGACCAGAGAAGGTGGGAGATGGATGTGGGTGACTGTGCACATGTGTGGGGGACAGAGTTGACTGTGGATGGAGCGGAAGGCAGGGAAAGGGACCCCCAGAGGCTTGGAACGGTAGGATCTTAGCCAGGGCACTCAACCATCCCACCTCCCCAACATTGCCTCTGGCAGGACCTCTGAGTGAGGCTGGGAAGGGATCGAAGATCACATCTGCTCCTGGTTGGGGTCCGGAATGGAGTGTGGGTGCCCTGGGGGTGGTGGGGGAAGGGCTGAGTCATGGGGAGGAAGTAGTGAGGCCAGAGTGGGATGGGGAGGAAGGCTCAGTCCTGACATTTACGGCCCAGGTGCTGCCTGCCACCCCTTCCAGTGCCCTGGCTTCAAAGCCCAGGGATGGATGAATCCTACCATTCCACAGTCAGATCAGGGAGGTGATGTGGAGGAAGAGAAACCACAGTATGAGAATATCATCCTTCCCTAACTCCCATCTCTGTCCCAGGGGCCCTAGGATGGGATTCATTACCAGTTAGCAGTCATGCTCCAACAGAGGAGGACAAAGGATCTTGGGAGGGATGAGGGAAGGATAGTGGCTGGGGTGGGAGGGAGGGAGGTGGTGGGAGGTGACCATAGTTTTGGAGACAAAATTCCAGGCATAGGAATCCGATAAATGAAGCTGAGATTTTTTTTCCCCCCAGAAAATATCAGGCATGGTATTAGTTCTCCTTAGGTTGAAGCCAACAGTTCTAGCCTGCAGTGAGTGGGATTGTGGTTAGTTTCCAGATCATGCCTGGGTGGTACAGGGATCTTCAAGGAAGAGGTGAGTAGAGGGCAGGTCCAGAGGCAGGGAATGTCTGGTTCCCTTGACTTTTCTAGCTTTCCCCTTTCCTTCTCATCACATTGTGTTTTTGTCTCAAGTTTCAGAGGAGTGGGGTAGGTGACTCAGATGTTCCCTCAGAGTGTGACTATAGAGACTTGGGTAGAATTTTGATCCAGGAAAGAGTTTGCCACTTCCCCCTTCTCCCTTCCCCCAGCCCCAGTCTGCCCATCTTCCATGGAGTGCCCTTCCCTGGGCCTCCTCCTGCATCACTCCCTACTTCTGAAACTCCTGTTGCTTAGTGACCAGTCCCTGCTGCCTCTCTACCTTGGCAGCTGGGGGTGGGAGTGGAGTGGGGGGCAGCGGGGACCACCCAGGCAGGCTAGGGTGGGGCTGCAGCAGCAATAGATGCTAAGCCCCTAACTCCATTCTGTTCTCATACTTGGACTGGTTGGTGGTAGAACAATGTCTGAGTCTCTCCTAGGATACAAGCAACTCTCCCTGATCCCCACCCTGGTCATTTCTGCACCCTGAACCAGTTCCCCACAGTCCACAGCCTCTACCCCATCACCCAGCCCTACCCTTCCCTGATCTCTGCCTCAGTCCCTGATTCTCAGTTCTCCACTCCAAGAGTCTCTGACAATTCTTTCCCATGGTGATGAGTGAGGTTTAGAAGAAATCATTCATTGAAAAGCCTTTTAAAAATCTTAGGCTCCGTACTTGCTGATGACCTTGACTATGCCCTTGGCAGGAAACATCTTCCCCCACTGACTCCCATCTTGAGAAGTCTGTTCTGCTTTTGGAGTGGGTGGGAGGGCCCCAATGTGGAGAGTGGCCTAGGGTATGGGTGGACACCCTGCATTTGTCCTGTACCTCCTGAATAGCCTTTCCAGGAAGCCTGGCTGTTGACCCATCAGATGGTGAGTTCTGGTTTTTGGTTGGGAAGACAAAGCTTCCAGGACTGAAGACGTGTGTGCCGTGGTAAACTCAGTGTGCCCACCCCCCGTCCCATCCTTGTTTGGAAATAAGGAAGGTGAGATTGGCAGAGGGGGTTTCTCCCCACCTGTGTCCCAGGAGGCTCTGACCTGGGCCTCCTTGTCTCCGGCCCCTTCTTATTGGCCCTCTCTCTTCCCTGGTTCTCTGGGGACTGGAGCAAGGGAATTAAAGTCAGAGACCAGTGGGAGGGAGCCTGCTTCTGCTGCGTGAGTTCTCTGGCTCTCTCCTTCCTTGGAGTCCTTCCTGCTCATTTATATGGTGGGGCAAGCTGGGCGATGAGGCCACAGGGTGACTAGCTCTGGTGACCTCCGCCAAGGAAGGCCGGGCCCGATGAGTGGGCACGTGTTTGGAGAGAAGAGGGCAGAGTATTTGGAATCGTGGCCCTGGGGGTGGAGGTGGGGATCAGAACCAGCCAGGATGCTGCTGCAGATGCCCAGAGGCCTCGCCTTCCACTGTGGTCCTGGTTGAGTCTCCTGGCAGTGGGGAGAGGCTGAGGGTTTGGGGTGGTAAGAGATGAATTTCAGGTCCAGTTCAAGAATCGTCAGGTGGGCTTTGGTCTGTAGGTAAGAGGCAGCAGCTTCTTCCTCCTTTCCTTGCTCCGGACTCAACACAGATTTACCTGTAGCCCCCAGGTTCTTGGGTGTTGGCTCCTTCCTGCCTAAGAGGGAAGTGGTTTCCAAGCTGAGTCACAAGAGCTCCAGCTGCTTCTTCTCTTGGGCGGGTGTGGCTGTGCTGATGGACTGGGGGGCCCCATTCAGACCCAACCTCTGGATCCAGCTCTCAGAATGACCCTGGAGGTTTCAATAGGCCCACCCCCTTCACTGCCTCGTGGCTGGTCTGTATGTACCGTTCTCTGGGCCAGAGGCTGGTGACCCGCTGGACAAGTCCTGGCACCCCTCCCCGACTTCCTGTTGAGATCTTACCTTCCAGTTCTAGCCCCAGCCTCCTCCAACCCCTGGACTCTCTCTTTGCCCTGTCCCCCACTTCTATAATGGGACACGCCCTGATATTAGGTGATTCAGGGACCCGGGCCAAGGAGGGTGACTTGGGTGAGGACGGCCTCTGGAAAATGAGTGCCCAAGATGGACCGGGCAGGGAGAAAATCCTGACCCTTCACTGGCCCCACCATCTGTCACCAGTTCTTCTTCTGGGGAGGCCATCCTGTCACCCCTCTGTCCCTAGACCCCTTTTTCAACATCTCCTAAGCGGAAGAGTGTGCGGTGTCCTTCCGGCCTGGTCAGTCTCACTGCTCCTTGGTTCTCACTACAACCTGTCCTGAGACATTGGGGTCCACTTGGTAGATTTCGATCTCATCGTGGGTTCCAGTAGCTGGTCCTTGAGGGAGAGGCTTGGAGGTGGGCTAGTGTTGGGGGGAAGCAGAAGGTCCAGCTTCCTGGGCAATGGGATCTTTTCCTTTCCCTTCAGCCCCCAGAACTGCACACCATGCTGGAGACGTCTTTGGAGAAGGCCCTGACCACTGTGGTCACCACTTTCCATAAATATTCAGGGAGAGAGGGCAGCAAACTGACTCTGAGTAGGAAGGAGCTGAAGGAACTGATCGAGAAAGACCTGTGTCTTGGTGAGGTAGGTGTCGGTCCCTCCCCTGCACCCCAGAGTCCCAGTGCTCCGTGCTCCGTGGGCACCGTGGGGGAGGGGACGGAAAAAAAGAGGAAGCACTGATGCCACCCCCGAGGGCTTCCCAGCATGAGGTGGGAGGCCCAGCGTGAGGGGATACACACTTACCCGCAGGGTACACTAGTCTCAGCAAGGACAGGATGGCCAAAGGGTACAGACAGAGACCCAAGGAAGAGGGTGAACATCTTGGGCCACGCCTGGGGATGAGTCAGGTCTCACTGGGAATGGAGACGGGCAGTGTCTGGAGGGTGGACCTCAGCGTGCACGAAGGTTTAGAGAAGGAGATCAAGGAAACTTCCATGTTGAGGCGCGGCTCTCACAGCTGTGGAGGCTGTGCAAGGGATGGAGTGGGGGTGGGCGAGGTGATTCAGGGGTCCAGGTCAGCTGTGCACAGCTCAAGGGCAGGGCCCCGGCCTGGCTCTCCTCCATGTACCCGGCACGTCTGGGGCTCTCAGCTGGTGCTGACACGGGAACCAAAAGGATCCTTCTACTAGTTTGTGAACACAGTTTGGAAGGGGGAAGAACAGATTCTTACCAGATGGAGATGGTGGGAGGGAAGCAACTGACAAAGGGAAAGGCCTATAAAGTAGTCATTATGTTATTATTACAGTTAAAAAATAAATTGAGGCTCAGATATGTGATATAACTTGTCTGAGGACACCCAGCTAGTGAGAGGCTGGAATTCCAGCCCGGGCCCATGTATCAACCTCCCTCGTTCCTTTAAAATCGGCCTGTGGGCCTCTCCTGTCGCATCTTGAACCCTAGTGGGCCTCCCCAGAGAGAAGCTCCACCTAGTGTGTCCCTGTGGACAGGGGACCAAAGCAGGCGTGGGTGTCACCAGGCCTCCCCTCTGGCCTTCCTGCCAAGCTCTCTGCATTCTGGAGTTAATGAGGACAGAGGGAGGGGCCATGGGTCCAGCAGGGTTAACTACAAGGGGACAGAGGCCCTGGGGAGGGCCTGGCTATAACAGGAGCCCAGACTGGGGACAAGGGTGACGTCACAGAGACGCTGTTTCCATCTCTATGTCCCGAAGTCCTGTCTCCTGTGGAAAAGTTGGAGGTGAGGGCAGTGAAGGGGAGAGGGCAGGATGTGTCTGTATTTTCTTCCTGTTCCCCCTGAGGGTGCTGTCTCCATCCTCTTGGTGGAGCTGGGCCGGTTGGGCAGGGGACCAGACAAGGAAGAGGACTGGGTGCCAGGCACTCGCTCCATGCAGCTGTCCTGCAGGGGCGGGATAAGGCTTGGATCTCACTTAGTACCACACAGTCACCAAGCCGTCTCTATTAGGTGTTGTACGAAATCTAGCTTATTATTTCTCTGGGCGGTAGAAAGTGTCGAGGGGAAGGGGGCTGCCCTAGCCTTCCTCTTGTAATTTATTCCGATTCAGGAGTCAGGTCACTGAGCTCTGCCTGGTGGCACCCTGTGCTGGGTGTGGCCTGGGGGGAGACTCTGGGGGTTGAGATGCTCTGCTGCTGACTCACCTGGGGATCAGCCTGAGGCTGCCTTCCCAGGGGTCAGGGCAGGGCTGGGAGGGGTGGCTGACCTGTCTCTCTACCTGGGCCCTCGAAGAAGATGAAGGAGAGCAGCATCGATGACCTGATGAAGAGCTTGGACAAGAACAGCGACCAGGAGATCGACTTCAAGGAGTACTCGGGGACTTCCCTGGTGGCGCAGTGGTTAAGAATCCACCTGCCAATGCAGGGGACACGGGTTTGAACCATGGTCCTGGAAGATCCCACATGCCGCGGAGCAACTAAGCCTGGGCGCCACAACTACTGAGCCTGCGCTCTAGAGTCCACGAGCCACAACTACTGAGCCGTGTGCCACAACTACTGAAGCCCGCGTGCCTAGAGCCTGTGCTCTGCAACAAGAGAAGCCACCACAATGAGAAGCCCGCGCACCGCAATGAAGAGTAGCCCCCACTCGCCGCAACTAGAGAAAGCCTGTGCGCAGCAATGAAGACCCATCGCAGCCAAAAATAAATAAATGAATAAACAAATTTATTAAAAAAACCAACAAAAAAGCAAACAAAAAAAGGAGTACTCGGTGTTCCCGACCACGCTGTGCGTGGCCTACAACGACTTCTTCCTGGCGGACAACCAATGACTGGGCCCTGGCCCCTGACCCCTGCAGCTCCTCTCACAGACCCTCCGTGGCCCCTTGCCTTCCTCTCCCTCCCAGATGGACCCTGCTTCAGCCTTCCCTTCCAGCAGAGGAAATAAAGGTTTTTGATTCCAGGTGTCCAGGGCTGGTTTGGAACATTCTTGTCCACCTTGGCTGGGGGTGGGGTGGGAGCAGGCAGAGCTTCTCCTTAAGTGGGTGGGCAGCCTCTGGGTGTTCACGTTCTGGGTTTCCACCCCACTTCCTGTTCTTCAGTGCAGACGTGACTAATCTTATCCAGGCTTAGTTTGGCCCTCCAGGAAAATGAGGAAGTGGGGCCAGGCTTTTGCTTGCCTCCAGGGAATGCTGCAAATATGCAGAGAAAGCTAAGGGGGAAAGTGCTCTGAGAGTGAGGACACTGGGGGTGGCTGGGATGCGGTCCCTGAGGGCAGTGGTGGACAGGCCACTCTGACTTGCCACCAGCTCACAGGAGGCCCCCACTGAGGACACTGGTAAGAAGGGGGAGTCTGGCCTTGAACTCCACACCGGCCCCCTTTCCTTCTCCTCCGTTTCCCCCCCAGCAACAAGCCCTACCATCATCTCTGGGATCCAGGGCTTTCTGCTCTCCCCACCTCCCTCCCCGTATCAAAATCCTTTCTTGGGAGAGGATCTGACAGACTTTGCATTGGAGGGTAAATCACTAATGACACTTACAGGGCTTGACTCTGGTGTGTGTGTGCACTTTAATGGGCAAGAGGCTGCGGGTGCAATTCAGGTGGGGGGATGGGGGAAGGGATCGAGGGTGGTGGTATTTTTCCCTGGGGGGATGTGTGTTCTAGGTGTCCTTTAAATCGTATCCTGTAGACCACTGGCTGCTCCCCGTCCTTCATCTAGGGTTCGCCCCCGTTTCCCCCGGCGCCGGGGAGCGGCACCCTTCTCCCCGCCCTTCCCCCCCCCCCCCCCCCCCCCACACACACACACTCTGACACTGCCCGGCTCTCCGCCTCCTCCTCTTGTCACATCGCGACGGGGGGCAAACTGAGTTTTGGAGATTAGGTGGGAGCTCGAGGTCACTGGGCTGGCCGCGATCTCCCCTCGGCGCCCCCGCCCCGCGGAGCCCCGAACAGCCCAGGGGCAGGAGGCGTGGAAAGTTTTGGGGCGAGGATGTTGTGTAAAGGGCGGGCAGGGTGGGGCGCGGGCGGGCAGTGGGCGGCCGGCCTCCCGGAAGCGCCGCTATAAGGCTGGCGGGCTGGCCACACGGCCATCCCCCTCGGCCGCTCCTTCTCGCTTCGCTGCAGCCGCGGTGAGTCCTCGCTAGGCAGGGCAGCCCCCGTCCTTCGGGGCCAGCCCGCCCCGGGTTAGTCCGCCCGCATCCAGACTGGGGCCGGCAGGGAGAGGCGGGAGCGGCCGGGCCGGCCCCGGGCTAAGGCACAGTGGGGTGGCTCCCCACTGTGGCCCTTCTGGGGTTGGGAGAGTGAGTCCCAGGGTGTGTCCGTGCCGCAGTGTGTGGTCCTGTGAGGCTGTGTGTGTGTAGGGCTGGGTGTGCAGCCTCCACCCTGACTCACAACATATTCCCCAACTTTTCTTGGAACCCCTGGAAGACAGTTCTCCGCTGTGGTTCTATTTGTTCCTTAGAATTCTTGAACAACCTCTGCTCTGGTCCTCTGTAGGGCACTCACCTCTTGGCCTTAGACTCTGCCCTCTCCCTCCTCTACAAGCCCTGGGCTGTCTCCTGATGTCACCTGACACTTAGTGGTTTGGCACGGGTAGTCAAAGGGAGTTGGGGGGGGGGTGTGGGTGAGTGAGAAGGCCCTGCTGCCCAGGGCACTGAGCAGCCTCTCTGCCCTCAGCTCTGAGCCCAGCCTTCAGCCATGGCGTGCCCCCTGGATCAGGCTATTGGCCTCCTGGTGACCATCTTCCACAAGTACTCCAGTCAGGAAGGTGACAAGAACACCCTGAGCAAGAGTGAACTGAAGGAGCTGATCCAGAAGGAGCTCACCATTGGCGCGGTGAGTGAACCCCCCCAGGCCCCCTCTCCCCACCTCTCGCCCTTTAGAAGCAGGATTCGGAGAGGGTGAGGTGCCAGGTGCATGGCTCAGGCTTACCCACATTCTGGGGCCCTAGACCATGTGCCTAACTGGACCACTGGTCCACACCCCTGAGGGGCTGGGGAAACTGGTAGCCTGGTATTCACTCCTCCTGAGTGAGGAACAGAGGAGAAGTAAAGCCAAGTGAACCCAAAGTGGGCTTGGATCTTTGGTGACAAGTGAGCACAGAGCCATTTGTATGAGAGGGGGCTGCCTGGGAGGGGGAAAGGCAGAGAACCCAAGGTCTCAAAACCATTGAGTCTGGATTTCCCATTCTAACACGTTAGAAGCTGCAGGATGCTGAAATTGCAAAGCTGATGGACGACCTGGACCGGAACAAGGACCAGGTGGTGAACTTCCAAGAATATGTCACCTTCCTGGGGGCCTTGGCCATGATCTACAATGACATCCTCCGGGGCTGAAAATAAATTGGGAAGGTGGAGACACCCTCTAGCTGGCCTGTCTAGTGGTGGGTAATTGTACAATAAATTTTTTTTTTTGGTTAACTCTATCCCTGTGTCCTGGCTTCCCAGTGATTTCCGTTTCCTCCTCTGCCTGGTGCTACATGGCCACCAGAGGGTTTTCTCACAGTTACCTCTGGGAGTGACTCAGTGACTCACCAGGCCAGGGGAGCTGGTGGGAGGGTCCACAAAACAGCGGATGCACCCTAACAAAGGGGTTGTGAGCTCATTAAGTTGCCTTTGTGTGAATTAGAAAAAGATGCCCACTCTGGGTGAAGCCATCTTAAGGAAAGGCTCAAGTGGTCCCCCGTGAAAGGGGTTCTGAGATGGGCTTGGAGAAGGAAATGGTGCTTGAGCCAGGATGTGATGAGTCCAGAGTGTGGCAGAGATAGTCCTATCAGGATCTCTGAAGACAAAGACGTGTTTTTCCTCTGGGCGTGGTGAGAGGGGAAGGGCCAGAAGGGCCTTGGGTCGGGGCCGGTCCACTTTCTCACCACAGTGAAATGGGGGCAGAGAAGGCATATCTGGCATTCCCAGAGCCTGGCCGGGGAGTGTTCTGCTATTCCGTCAGAGACCACTGCGGACGGACGCTGTATGGTTGAGTTCGATTCTGCTGTCTATGCCCTGGTTGGTCAAAGGTGGGAGGCACGCTTTAAGAGTCTGTCCCTGCATTCAGGGACAGGGTCCTTTGTGCCAGGGGTGGTGGTCTGAGAAGCTGGCAGCTGTGCGAATAAATGACTCATGGGGTGTTCATGAAAGGGGTGGGCTGAGGGTCCTCGGGGTGGAGTGGGGGGGTCTCCGGGGCTGGGCAACTGCGCCTTCAAGCCTTTCTGTCAATATTGAGCCAGCCCATCCCTACAGCCTCAGCAGAAAGAATCACCCCAGGTATTCCACCGGAGCCGAGCCTGGCTCTCAGCCCCCATCAGGGAAAATGACTAATTGTCTGAATTATTGTCTGAGTTCACTGTTTGCATTAGCGTTTTCAGGCAGGCGGGTAGGGGAAGGGGGTAAATTGTGTTTCAGGGCCATGGGGCAGTTCTGTCCCCTCCAGGCCTAAAGTATGCCAGGCAAGTTCCTCTGTATACTCTGGGGACCCCAGAGGGAGACCATATCCTCCTTCCCTTCTTACTCACCTCCCCACTTCCCAGGGGGCTCAACTCCGCTGAATTGAGTCTTCTTCCTCCAGGGGGTGGGGATGAGCCAACAGTCCCAAGAGGGCTGGAAGCCTCACCTCTTGGCGTCCCTCTAGTGGCCTCTCCTTCCCCGCAGGGACTAGGGACTGGCACAGCTGGGAACCAGGAAGGGACCCAGGTTGAGCTCCCGGTCTGCACAGCCGTGTCCAAGCCTTGGCTCTATCCGCCCCCGCAAAGATACCTTCCCGGCGTCGCAGCGGCCAGCATAATGGGGCGTGGAGCGAGCGCCCTCGTGTGGACAGAGAGCAGGACGCCGCGGGGCCGTTGTGGTTGGTTTTCTCGAACCCCTAGGGAGGGGCCAGTGGCGGAGGGAGCCAAGGTGGAGCCCTTCCAGTGAAGAGGAAAACACCACTTGGTGCTCTGGGAATGTCAGCCGGGGGATCTTTTGGCTCCCAGCAACTAACCCCCCAATAAAGCAACTCGCAGCTCAGCCTTTACCTAAGACGCACGTGCCACGAGCAAGTCCATGAAAGGAAGGCGGTTTGCAAAGACAAACAATCTGAACCCTGTCCCCCGCCCCTCCCGCTTTCAGGGCCTAGAAGACCTTCGTACAAAGAGGGAGGAGGGGTCATTTCAGTGGGTGAAGACCTACTGCCCTGCCCAGGGAGGGGCTGCTCAGACAAGGCCTTCGGTCAGACATCTGCAGGGAGCTCGGTGGGTGGGCAGGCCGAGAGCTTTGGGAGAATCGGTAAACGTGCGCAGTTCACCTGCTAAATAAATAGGCGTGTCCTTTAGCGGCTGCCTTTCCGTAATGGTGGAGGGGAACAGGGACACGGATTTAAGAGATAAAGCAAACCCCCAAACATGCAGCAAATCTTTTGTTTGCTTTGAGGGTGTGGTCTTTAAGGCTTTTTTGAGGGATGGTGGGAGGAAGCAGTATTTACAACGGAACCTGGTGGGTGCTCTACTCAAAGGGTGGGACTGTGTGTGGAGGGGGCACAGACTGGTCGCTTTTTATTGCATTTGCCTCCAACGGATGTAATGGAAATGAAGCCTTTAGTTCACTCTGTGGAACAGGGGCCTGGGCTTAGGGTAAAGGGAGACGTTCAGATGTGAGCTGGGGGCTTCACATTCCTGTCCCTCTGCTGAGGCTGATCCAGGCCTCTGGTGGAAGTGGCTCTGCGTTCCCCTATGCCCCTCGCTGAGGCTCCTTTTTCCCTTGCTGTGCATAAATGGGCATTAATCCTACAACCTAGTCAGCCTGACACCCAGGAAGCTGAAACAGCGGCACCACAGCCCATGTCTGTAAGCTGGGACGGGCCCCAGTGGGAGGGGTTTTGGACTGAGTCACCGTATGTAGCTCTTTGTTCTCTGCCAAGCGTATCTGATACTGTCGGGAATAAAGCCACTGTACGTTTGTATAGCGCTTTTATTTTTACAAGGCACTTTCATATCCATTC